GGACCCGCGGGGCGTCGCCCTTACTCGTCGCGGCGCCCCCTGGGTGCTGCCCCTTCTCGTCGCGACGCCCGTACGGGACCCGCGCAGCGTCGCCCTGCTCGTCGCGACGCCCGTGCGGGACCCGCGGGGCGTCGCCCCTGCTCGTCGCGACGCCCGTGCGGGACCCGCGGGGCGTCGCCCCTGCTCGTCGCGACGCCCCCTGCGGGACCCGCGGGGCGCCGTCAGAGCCTGCAGCAGCAGCCGCCGCTCTACCAGCAGCAGCAGCCGCCGCCGCTCTGCAGCAGCAGCCGCCGCCGCCCTGCAGCAGCAGCCGCCGCCAGGCCTGCAGCAGCAGCCGCCGCCAGAGCCTGCAGCAGCAGCCGCCGCCAGAGTCTGCAGCAGCAGCTGCCACCAGAGCCTGCAGCAGCAGCCGCCGCTCTACCAGCAGCAGCAGCCGCCGCCGCTCTGCAGCAGCAGCCGCCGCCGCCCTGCAGCAGCAGCCGCCGCCAGAGCCTGCAGCAGCAGCCGCCGCCAGAGCCTACAGCAGCAGCCGCCGCTCTACCTGCAGCAGTTGCCGCTGCCGAGCCTGCAGCAGCAGCCCCTGGAGCAGCCAGTCACTGCAGCAACCGCCCCTGGAGCAGCCCGCCACTGCAGCAGCCGCCCCTGGAGTTTGCCCGCCTTTGTTCGAGAGTGTGGGGGTGACGGGTATGGGGGTGCTTCGTGTGCGTCGTCCCTTCCTCCTCCTTCGTCTCCCACTGCTGCAGCTGCCGCTGAGGGGGGTGGATGTGTGGGAGCCGAGGGGACTGGCGCTAGGGGGGGTGATATGGGAGTGGAGCTAAGGGTGGACCAAGGGGTGTGTGTCGAGGGGTGTGGGACTGTTGGGGGAGGTTGAGCGGAGACCGCCGTCGTGTCGTCTACAGCGCCTGTACTCCGGGGCGCTCAATCCCGGTAGCTCAGAGAGCCGGTTGCACCTGTCGCCCGTGGGTCCGTTGCTCCTGCCGCTGCTGTTCAGCCGCCGAGCCTGTTACTCCTGTATTCCGGGGCCTTTCTCCTCCCGGTAGCCACCAGCGTTGCACCAGAGCCGTCTGTTGCCCGTGTGTCTGCAGCTTCAGTCGTCGCCTCCACTCTTCTCTCATCTCGCCAGCCCTCCTCCTCCTCACTTGCCCTCTGTGACTGCCTCTAGCTCTGCTTACAATTTATAAACTATTGGTTCTTGAACTTGTGCTCAGAATGTGTGGTGACGTCGTGATCCACCCTGAGCTTGTACTGCTTTGTGTGCTCTGCTGATTACACCCCACTTTGGCTATGGGGGTGTGTCAGAATGTTATTTGTCTAGCCTGCAGTGGGGTGCTCAATAGTGAGTACAACCCCTTAGGGTTTGCTATTTGTGTGTTCTGCTGCTTGCTAGTCACCATTCATTCTTCGTTCCAATTCTCCTTCGTAAACCCTAACTCCTAGTTCTAGAGCACACCCACCTACCTCCTAGTGTGGGCCTAGGCTACTAAGCCTAGGCCCCACACCTACGATTCTAACACAGGTGTCTCGTGAAACGTGAAGACATAAGCAACATGGAGGCGGTGGTCCGATTTCGCACGGAAGATGATCAGAGCGAGAAAGTCGAAGCGTTGTTGGCGTTGCCGAGTGGGTCCGAGCGCAACAAGGCATCAAAAGCAATCAGCACTCATCTTATCAAGGTACGTATGGTCTGCGAGTGCGTCCATACCTTATAGCATCTGTTGTTGTGTGTGTACGCGCATACGTTCAACCCGCATACCTTCTACTATGAATTTGCGAGCGTGTCATACTTTGTCATAGTTGTGTGGGTTCTATTTCATGTGTGCTAACTATACTTCTCCCACTCACCCATGCGCAGGTAGCCTTGTGGGGCTTCAGAGGCGGACGTACCCCTGTCGGCAATCCATATCGAGCCTTACTTGTCGAGGTGATGCACGCGATGGACCTTGGTGTCTTCTTGCACATCGTTTCCTGCATTCGGGCGTATTACGCACGAGATCGCGACTTTCTTCGTTCCCTCGACACCGAGTTGCAGCTCATTGCGACCGACACCCGAATCTCGGGTTTTCGTATCCCATCTTCCGAGAAGGGTGGTTACTTTGCGGGTGCTGCACGGTTTCAAGCGTTTGAGCATCGCGCGGTGATGCAAGTGATCACGATCGTGCTTGCAAATTGCGGCGTGCCGAACTCGGTGGTTGGTGCGGTGGCGGCATTCGTGGATTGCTACATGCTCGCAGTCCGGCGTTGGTATCATACCTCGAAGACTCTACAAGAGCTTGATGAGGCCATCAAGAGGTAGGCTTCTTTCTCAACTGTGCATGGTTGCTTGTGTTGTTTTTTTCATCCGTTTTATTCTCTTTTTAGTTCGATGTCTCTCATTCCTTGCCTTCCATGCTTGCCAATGTGTTGCGACGTTTTGTGTTACTATTTGTTTTGCGCCCATTGAGTTTTGTCTCTTCAATGTTCTCCATGTGTGCCATACCCTCCACCAGGTTGATTCCGCTCTTGAAGGAAGTCTTTGCAGGCCTTCAAAAGTCGGAGTTCGACATCACCAAAGTGCATTCATCGGCACACGTGGTGGAGGACATCATTCGATCGGGGGTGCCGATGCATTACAGCGCCAACATGTACGAGTATCTCCATCAACCTCTCGTGAAGCGAGCGTACCGTGCAAGCAACAAGAGGGATCCTATCCCTCAAATTGTGAAGCACGATGTGCGAATGCACATGCTACGCGTGCTCCAAGCATCGGAGGCACCGAGCGAGGATGGACCAAAGCGAATGGTTGCACTACAGGAGGTACGCGCTTGTATGTGTGTGTGTGTGTGTGTGTGTGTGTGGGTGTGGGTGTGTGTGTCTATGTGAGAGTGTGTGTGTCCGCATGCGTGTATATGTGTGTGTGGGTGTATATGTGTGTGTGTGTATGTGTTTGTGTGTGTATGTGTGTGTGCAAGCGTGTGTATGTAACTGTGTGTGTGGGCATGCGCGTGCGTGCGTGCGTGCGTGCGTGCGTGCGTGCGTGCGTGCGTGCGTGCGTGCGTGCGTGCGTGCGTGCGTGCATGCGTGCGTGCGTGCGTGCGTGCGTGCGTGCGTGCGTGCGTGCGTGCGTGCGTGCGTGCGTGCGTGCGTGCGTGCGTGCGTGCGTGCGTGCGTGCGTGCGTGCGTGTGTGTGTGTGTGTGTGTGTGTGTGTGTGTGTCTATGTGTGTGTGTGTTTGTGTGTGAGGGTTTGTGCATGCGTGAGCAAGTGCGCGTAACTGGGATTATGTCTTGTGAGCTTGGAGCTTCAAGTCAAGTTGAAACGTTTTTGGGTGCCTGTATTCGACCTCGCATTAACAACGAGCCTTTTTTTTACACCCATGCCTTAATGGACATGCATTTTGCAGGCTATGGAGAGCGGTAGCAACACTCTTGCAGCCACCAGCTTCAGTGTAAGCTGGAAGGAAAGCATTGAGGATGGGTGTGACAAGTAGAAAGCGCATGCGCTGGCCGCGCCGGGTGACATGACCAAGCTCGCGGGGCAGTTGGAAGGCAAGGCCGAGGAAGGCGAGGTACTAAATGGTACCATACGCGTGAAGAATGGCATGGCTATCCCTGGCGACGAGGATTTCACCAAGTACTCCAGCCAGACACATTATGTGCGAGCGTGCGCGTCTTTCGGCGACAAACCATGGTTCAACGATGTAGCAGTGCTTGGTGAAGAGGAGATTGAGGCTGTAGGAGGCCAGACGACAAGGCGCAAGGTGATATGGTATGCAAGGCTGCTGCTGTTGTTTACCATCGACGTATACGCGACAGAGACAAAGGCGTTTTCCAAGCGCGCATACGCATTTGTCCGCTATTTCAGAGCCACTGGTGCGGTGCACGCATCAAAATGCCCGGTGTATGCTTGGGAGGCAGGTGATAACGAGTACCAACTGCTTGAGCTTGATAACATTCTGCGCGTAGCTCATATGGTTTCCGTTAGTGAGGGGCTCTTTGTGATGAACAAGTTTAAATTTTATTAAAACACGATTGACATAACACAAGCAGTACTGTATTTCGAATATTGTAAGCATCACTTGTTGAAACGAACCCGCGATTTCTCCCCTATAATTCGTTGTTCCCGATGGAAGTGTGACACTTCACCCGTGCGTTGTTGGCGATATTGCGCCACGCAAGTAATCATGACACTTTTGCTTGCTGGCATGCTGCCGCGCAGCGTGGTTGCCTTTCCTGCCGCGTTGGCTAGCGCACAGTAGTCTGCCAGCTGTGCTGTGTCCACCGTGCCATTGTTAGGCTGTGGCAGGGTTCGATGCACAGTTGAAAAGGGTCCTTCGTGACACCTTCGGATGACGTCACCGGCAGCTGTCAGCCTTCCAGTGACGTCGTCAATGTTGCCAGCTTCGCTGGCACGAAACCTCTCATTCGTTGGACCTCCATGCCTCGCTTCACGCGTGGCAAGATACGCGTCACGTAACCTGTTGCACTGTCCTTGTTCGCTGAATATGTTCGGTGTTGTGCGGCGTAGTTGTCGCGTTGTTTGGCACGTATGTGTTTTGGGACCATTCCTTGCCAGATACAGCACCGATGTGTGCAGTGTTTTGGCGTATTTCAAGGCCAAAATCGTTTCGAAAACCGAAGCAAATCACTTATTGTTGATTTCAATTCGCATGTTCTGTGTAATGCTGTTCAGTACTTATCTAAACTTCTCGCTACAAAGCTAAGTGATGTTATCATCTCGCGCACTAGCGTTTAACGTTGTGGTCCATTCCCATCGCAACTGCAGGATTGGTGTAATTATTTGGTTTTGAAATAGCTCGGGGTGAACCATCACGCTGTCAACATTCCTATTAGTTGTCAATTCCTACCACCTGTGCTACTCATCTCATGTCCTACAGGAGCAGCTTCTCCTCGTTTCCAACCAGCCGAGCTTGTTCCCGTGCTCCAACTTTCACCAAGTCTCACTATTTTTTTGCCTCTTTTTCAACTACGTGCCCTATGCCTGTTAGTGGGCAATTTAGGAAACATGGCGATAGGCGTGCCAGCAGAAATAATGGAGTTGCAGCGTAAGAGATCCCGAACCTCTAATAGGCGTCTCGAAGGCTACGAGCTTGGTAGCCCAACCACAGGGACTCGGAGAACTTCTACTCCTGCCCAGCAGGTGGGTACCCCGAGCGCTCTGCCTGCGCAACCCCCGCCTCTGCAAGACCTTGAGGCACTTGATGCCGAGCACACCGCGGAGAATGGAGTTGCCTCTCCCCACGACGCTTCGAACGCTACTGCACCGGTAGCGCAACGTGGTGCAGCCGCAAATGTCGTCGCGTCTGCTGGAACTGGCGGTACGTTTTACGTATCATTATGTTGTTTGTCTCAGTGCTTTTTCCAACGTTCATCTGACCATATTTTAAACATTCAAGTGCCATAACGCTGTGCTCGTTTAATTCTCTCTCGTGTTTTCAGCGTTGCGCTCGTCAGATCGTGATGTTCATCACCCAGAGGCCAACTCGTACAACCACATCGACGCTGCTATACGCGGCGATCTGCAAGACGTTCGCACTCTGATGCTGCGAATTGAAAACCGGCTTCATGTATCTGATGAGATTCATCAGACTCTGGCTGCTACTGTGAAGAATCTTCTCGAGATTGTGCACCAACCGAGCTGGTGCAACGAGAAAACCATGGAAGTAAGTATCTGTTATCTACTTGTTGTTCAGTGTGGTGTGTGAATCATGTTCTAATTTCTCCTCGTTCTTTTAGCAGGATGCCTGTAAGAAGGCGTGCGATGATTTGCTCAAGGGATCAGATGTCTCCCAGCGAGTCATTTACCCTGACGAAGACCAGTTCAGGGCGGCCGTCGTGGTGCACCTCGCTCTGGATCCCGAAGACTTCGGGAAATTTAACGATTACTGGAAGAAGGGCGAGTGGGCGAAGAAGTGCACCGACATTTGCAACGGCCGGCGGGGGAAACTCGGGAACAAGTCCCGGAAGGCGAGTTTCAAGCTGTTGAAGTACCCCGACAACAAAGCCGTTAAGGACTCCGTTGAGGATCGGCGCGATTATGCGCGGTCCTGCGTCTCTGGTACGTTACGTTTTTTGTTGCTGTTGCTGTAGCTATGATCTGTTTCTGACATGTTTTTTTTTTTTTTTTTCCAGAGGAGTTTGGCCTGCCGTGGCATGTTTTTGAGGACAAGCCGTTCTGCAGCGAGGCCGTCTTAGCTGCTGCAAGCAAGTGGCAGAAGAAAGAGGGGGATGTCTACACCCTGAGCATTGACCAGCTGTGCTACACCATGGTCGCGGTGAGCGATCCTGTTTCTAGAATGCTTTATCTTGCCGTTATCAGCCGTTTAATTTCATTTGCTCTTTCTTGGCAGGTGGAGTTTGAGATGTTATCTCGTGATCGAAGCAGCATGTTTTCTGACTCCGAGAACAACACCCGTGAAATGACCAAGAGGAAGTTCCATGTTGAGCGCTGGGTCCGTCGCGCAAGCATTCCACTTGTCAGTGGGTTCTACTATTTTGGAGATGTCATTGTGAAGGATTGGCAGATTGTAGATGATATTTAGTAGATTAGTTTAGGTGTAGTGCATTTGTAGATTTAATGTAGCTTCTGATATTTTAATGTTGGCTAATTTCTAATCGTTTAGTATTGTTCGTAGCGACCGATTAATATATTCTCGTATCTGTTTTGGTTTAATGACCGTAATGCCATTTTACTGTTCTGTGAGATCAAATCTCATTTTACGATAACAGTGTAGTTATCATTTTTTATTGTCGTATTGTCACATCTTCAATTCGAACAAATATCTCTTAACAAATCCTTTTTCGATTTTATGCATAATCATTTTGATATCACGTGGTAACCAACTTTAACAAATTTGTTACGCGAGTGGTTACAACCAAAATCTTCAATTCTCGCGTGTGCGAGGGCCTTCTTTTCGTTTCCGAATGTAACAAATTCGATTACTCGCCCAACTGACATGCGATGCGCAACTTACACATTTCAATCGCCTCGCAGGTTGGTTTCGGGTGACATCAGGTTGACTGCAGGGTGGTTCTGTTGCCCCACAATTACCCCCCCGTATTGAAAGCCGATTGACAGGACTCCCGAAATCGGGAGTCACTAGGAAGGCTTCCAGCAAATTGCTGGAAGCCACATTTCTTCGTGCGATGTGGCTGACGGCGTGGCGGTGGAGCTGACTGTGCCCGGCACGACGGTGCAGCTGTGGGACGGCGCGACGCTCAAGTGGGAGGCTGCGCGCATGCTGAGCGGCACGGACCTCGTGGACGTGTACGACGTGAAGATCGACGGCGTCGCCACCATCCGCCTCACGCTCAGGCCCGAGGTCAAGAACCTCCGCACGCCCACGGACGCCGCCGTGCACTTCGGCCTCGACGTGCTCTCCTCCTCCTTCTCCAAGGCCGTGCACGGCGTGCTCGGCCAGACGTTCCGCCCCGACTTCCAGGGCCGCCTGTAAGTCCAACCTCCCTCGCGCCTCTCTGCGTACGTGCCTGTGCTTTTCTACTGGCTTGTTTATTTCGTGTTCGTTGGCGCTGATGCGGTTTCCACTTTCCTCTCTGGCGTTTCCCTGCGTTCTATTTTCCAGGGCGCAGCAGAAGCTGCAGTGGAGCGATCTGCTGCAGGTGATGGTGGTGCCGGGCGACAACGCAGAGGGCTTCATCGATGGAAGCATGGACGACTACGAGGTGACGGACCTGCTCAAGGCGGACTGCAAGATGTGCCGCTTCACGCGCGCCCACGCCGTGGACGAGGAGATGTCCATCGCCATGAACATGATGGGCAGCCGTCGGCGGAGGCCTGCCCGCTGCTCCTCGCAAATACCTCGCACAGAGCTTCTAAAGCTCCTCCCCATTTGCCTAATCCTACTCTCGTAATCTAAACGACATCGCAAAAATGAAGGGGCTGTTGTAAATTGCATCGAGCAACTTCCCTCGATGGGTTCGTAGGGGTTGGGGGGACTACGGTGGCAATTCTGGTAGCGCATTCCTGGACATATTTGTTTCCTGCTAGCGCAACTCTGCTTGTCGCGTCGCACTCCGTGCCGCATTTGTTGACGAGCTCGTGTGCTTGTATACGAGTGCAGTTCGGGCTACTGTAAATGTACAATACATTTGGAAAATTTTGAACATTTCTTACATGCCCACCACGTGGTGTCTTGGCGGCAGCTCTATTTCATGAGAATTTTGAACATTTCTTACATGCCCACCAGCGCGGGCAAAGGTGTATTGGTGGCAGCTCTATTTCATGAGAATTTCACCAAGTCTCGTCAGCTGCGCTCGTCCGGCAATGATGTGACACTAATGGTGCCCACCACGTCTTGCCTCTACGAGCGTGAAAATTCATCCCTGTCCCCACGCTATCATACTTCGGCAACGGAACGGTTATAGAGAAATAAAGAATCTTCGTTTTTTTATAAAATCCAGGTTACAGACACAACCACTTCCGACTTGAAGGAAGTGTCAACCTGCCTCCGAAATTAGTACCAGTAAATACGCCAGACTTATCCCGCTAAAAAGCGCTTCTTAACTGGACGCGTCCCCAGAAGCAACAACGAGAGGTTTCAGCGCTTTCCTGGGGGTGGTGGCGGAAATACCACCTCCTGAAACACCTCCCATCATCGCCAGAGCGATGGTGGTTTCCTTGTCTATAGTCTCAGCTCGGGTGAATGTGCACATCTTGCAATCCGATTTCAGAAGGCCCGACACCTGGTAGTCGTCAACCCCTCCGTACAAGAACCCTTCCGCATTGTCACCTGGAACGGCCATCACTTGGAGAAGGTCGCTCCACTCCAGCTTCTGCTGAGCACTGCAGAGCCAACAGAACAAAGGGAAGATACATCAGCAAAATGGGCCGGAGACATGAAGTCGCGAACAACGAAACTCACGATTCTCGAACCAACAGACGAAATCACAGCTTCATAAGTCGAATCGGAGAGGCTAGACGATGAAAGAAGCAGAAAAAAGTTGCAACTTACAGTCTTCCAGCGAAGTCCTGCCGGTATGTTTGACCAAGGACACCGTGCACGGCGGGGGAGAAACGCGCGTTCAACACCTCCAGACCGAAATGCACCGTGCCGTCTTTCGGCGTTCTCCAGGTCTCCACCTCTGGCCGCAGAGTCAGCCGAATCGTCGCCACACCGTCCACCGAAAGATCGAAAACATCAACATAGTCGTCTCCGTTTTGCTGCCGCGCGTAGACCCAGGTGAGTGTAGCTCCTTCCCAAAGAGTCAGCGACGTTCCAGGCGCCTTCACTTGAACTGGTTTCCCGTCGACCAACACTCGTGCCAGATATCCGTCGTTATAATCGAATTCCGGGCCCTTGCGCGCTTCTAGAACCACCGTGTGGTGCCCGTGCATCACGCTGACGTCACGGATCCACGTCAGCGCTTTGAGCCTCGATCCCCACGCGGTGTACCTCCCTCCGAAGTACCCGTTCACCTGCAAGTGCAGATCCGAGACGATCGCATAGTTCCGATTCGGCTTGCCGCTGAAATCGAAGTGCGAGCCATCCGCGCCGCTGAAATGCGGGTCGCCCTTGTGACCCGGCTCGCACAGCTCGCCCACCGTGAAATTCGCCGGCACCTCGTAGTCGCCATTAACCCTTCTGCCCGCCTCCATCCACTTGCTGCTGTACGAGTTCGGCCCGTTGCACTGCGTCGACGCGAAACACGTGCAAATCCCGCCCGTCGCCTCCAGGCATGTCTCCTCGAACATCCAGTACTTAGCCTTCACCTCACCGGGCTTCCGTTTCGCGTTCCATCCCGAGCAAAACTTGTAGCAGTCGGTATTAGCGTCAGCGATACTCTCGTCGCTGATGTTGTAGGATTCGTAGTTGTACATTTGACCACCTGTGAAATACGCTTCGACCAGCGGCTCCGGCTCTTCCAGCGGGTCGACACGGTCGGTGAACTTTCCGTAAAGGAATTTACCTTGGCCGCAGGTAAATTTCGGGCAGACATCGGCGTAGGTGGTGGGGATAGAGGTGACAGAAAGGAGGACGACGATTACGAGGGAGGACGCTACGGCGCGGTTTGACCGCAGCCAGCTTTCCATTGTGGAAACTTTGTCGAGAACCCTAGACCGTAGTAGTCGTGATGTCAGGCTTGATGAACTAAGGTTGTGCAAGGAGAAGGTCCCAGAGGAGAAACAACAGATTTACAGAAGCACTTGTGGGGAACTGGAGAACAGATAGGGTGCTTTCTTTGGAGTGACAGGGTGGATGTCAGGTGAATTGATGCAACCTATCACATAAACCCCCGAGACAGTCACGCGGAGAGGAAACCAACCGTAGGAATGGAAAACGCGTTCGATGGGTGAAAAATGTAGCGTAGTGTGTCCGCTCAAGGTCCAATGAGCAGGTGGGGAAGAGGAAGAGAGGGAGGACCTCTCAAATGTACGTCACGATGAAAGCAGCATGGAAACAGAGTAAGAGCGACCGTGGTTGGGATGTGAACGAAGAAAGCGACCGTTTGAAAACAGCAAGTTTAGTGCGATAGAACAAATGTAAAGGGTGTTTTTTAGCTGCACTTGGAAAACTGTTGTGATTGAGACAGGTATGCATAAGGCGACCAGTAGTGGCAAGAGGTCGGCAAAGAGTGTGGGCTCACTAGCTAAAATGTTGTCGTGTTTCGAGAACGTACGAAGTGGTAACACCCTGAAAGTGTCGCCTAGCTGTCTCATATTGTCGTTTTCCATAATCAAAATTTGCTATCGTCCTTATCTTCGCGGACAAACATTACCTGCGGCGCGGAATCCATGGGGAGCCCTTTCTTTGATCTCACAGTAGTATTTCATGAATCACCTGCTCAAGACCACGCCAGTCCAGTGTCCAGCTGTGAAGATTTGATCGAGGCGGATGCCAGGTGGGCAGGTGGAGGGGAGTGGATCTAGGGGTACAGTGCGCTTAGTTATACAACTGATACGTATTGTTTTCAAAATACTGCTCCATAACAATGGTTGAGGCTTCTCAGGCTACTGCCCAAAAGCAGAACAATAAGCCCCCTATGCATGACCTTGCTTGCCCCATGGAACATTTTGGGGTACAACATATAGTGTATGCAGCAAGGATGCGGAGTTAAAGAAAAAAAAAGGGAAGCATTTATTGCTACCGGTATACGAGTGTACGTGGTCTCGTCGTGTCCCTCATGCTATGTTACTGTTACTTGACGTTCAAAAAAATGTAGTCCGTTTTTATGTGATCCCTTTGAACAAGCAGGAGAACAACAAGCAGGGCTCTCGTTATCAGACCATTTTGGTCTGATGGTCTGATTTTCAGACTCATTCTTTTATATCCATCTGATTTTCCAATCTAAATCAGACAAAACAATTGTTTTGCCTGGGGGACCCGTCTGACAGAATCAGACGCCCTCAAATCCTAGCAAGAGCCCTGAACAACATTATTCTGAAGATACTTGAGAAAACGAACAAGAGGAACCAGAAGATAAAGTACCAACGATGGATGATAATTAGGGTACATTCCGCGCTGGACACTTTCTCAAATAAAGTGTCCCAATCGAGTGTACCGCTCCGAACCGAACTAAACCAGAGACGCGAACATTTCGACAATGATTGAAACTAGGGTGTAATTTGGTGTAATACGATGCAGTGCGGTAGAATCGATTCAGAGACTTTCGATTGGGACATGTCGAGCACGGAATATACCCTTACTGCGTGAGCACTAGCTCAAGCCGAGGCTTGAGATGAGGGTGCTAAGGAAATGGGCAGGTTCGGACCATCAACTCTCCACGGCTTATGAAACATACTGCAAGAGAGTATGCTCCACTCCCTAAGCGCACTGGCACGTAGTGATAAAGGAATCATAAGGGTTTATCATAAAACAATAGACAGTGTGCCATTTATTATACGCGGAAAGCAAAGGTACTAATTATATCCCAAAGAACACTCTTATGCCCTTCTCCACAATCTCAACTCCTCCCCTGTCCTCACCCCACAATCCCCCAATCGTACCAGATAGCATTTTTACTGAACCCTCCACTCTGCTACCCCAGGTGCTACAAAAACCATCTGATTTTCATCATCCAGTAACAATTCGCACGAGAAGTCCACTACTACCGTTGCGCTGAGACCAACAGGTGATACGCGCCCTTCTTTGCGAGAAGCTCGTCATGTGTGCCCTGCTCCACCACCCGCCCCTTCTGCATCACAACAATGCAGTCTGCACTTCGCACGGTGGAGAGGCGGTGGGCGACGACAACGGTGGTGCGGCCGACCATGACGCGCTCCAAAGCCGCCTGCACCACCTTCTCGCTCTCCGCGTCCAAAGCCGACGTCGCCTCGTCCAGCAGCAGCACCCGCGGGTCCTTCAGGATCGCCCGCGCGATCGCCACCCGCTGCTTCTGCCCCCCGCTCAGCTGCGTTCCACGCTCCCCTACCAACGTGTCGTATGCTTCGGGAAGAGCGGAGATGAATGCATGGGCATTGGCAGACTTGGCAGCTTCAACAATCTCAGTCTCGGTCACCGCTTCAAACTCCTCCTCCTCCTCCCTCCCATCCGCACCACTTCCCGCACTCTCCCTACTCATCCTGAAATCACGGCTTCGCCTTGAATCCCGGGTCCCCTTGCTAGTAGCACTAAGGCTCCAACAGCCCTTCTTACTGGCACCATCAGCATCAGCACCATCACCAGCAGCAGCCCCGCCGTTGGGAACATAGGTTGCAGCGCGGCCGTAGGCGATGTTGTCTCGGATGGAGATGTTGAAGAGTGCGGGTTCCTGGCTGACGAGGCCCATGTGTTGGCGCAGCCAGCGCAGGTTGAGAGCGGCGATGCTGCGGCCGTCCAGCAGCACGGCTCCGCTCTGCGGGTCGTAGAAGCGTTCCATCAGTGCCACCACCGTTGACTTGCCGCTGCCACTCTCCCCCACCAGCGCCACCGTCTGCAGGGGAAGGGCGGGGGCAAAAGTAAGTTCATGTAAACATGGAGATGGCAGTAAAATTTATGGGGCTGAGAATGTAGAAAAGACGTGTTAGATGAGCAGGGTGTGTCTCTGCACACGAGTACTTGTTGCAAGTGTGAAGTTTTAGAGTGTTGTCAAGTGGCCATGCCTCCTGTTGCACGCGCAGAGCATCCATCGAGAACCATTTAACTAAGAGCAGCACCGACCAACCACTCCCTCCTCCCAACCACCAACCATTCACTCACCCAACTGTCCACCCACCTTGCCAGCCGGAATTGTAAGTGTGAAGTCCTGCAGGATGGTGAGGTGCGGGCGGGACGGGTATGCAAACACCACGCCCTGGAACTGCACCTCGCCCCCCACTCCCTCCTCCGGCCGCTCTCCCTTCCCCTCGGGGTCGATGCGGGAGCGCCGGTCCAGCAGCTTGAAGATGGACTTCACTGCTGCCTGTGCCGTCGCCATGTCCGGCGCTAGACTTGCTGTCTGGGCCACCCCCATTGCTGTGAACACCACTGCAAAGAATGACTGGGGGAAAGGGGAGAGGTGGGAGGTTGCGTTGGGAGGGAGGGATGTGAGGGCGAGATGGAAGGGAGGGAGAGATGAATGGTGAAATCACTGAGCATTTGAATGCAGAGAAAGTCAACGGAGCAGGCACCTGAGAAACCACCTGACGAGCACCTGAGGGATCACCTGAGAACCACCCTGGGACCCACCTGAAAGACGGATTGGAAGTCAGCCTGGCCGATCTTGACGAGCTGCCCGCCGCACCAGAAGGAGAAGCCGTAGACTGCAAACAGACAGAACTGCCCAAAGCCAAAGCCCGCTCCGCTGACCTGTGGTGGGGAGAGAGAGGGAGAGAGCGAGAGAGGGGTGAGTGGTGAGGGGTGAGGGGTGAGTGGGGAGTGAGTGGAAGTTGAAGGGAAAGGTGGAGAACCATGACTCGGCCCTCTGCGTTCACTCCATCCCCCCCTCTACCTCCTCCCCCGCCACACATGCCCACCTGTGCCTTGCGCAGGCCTGCCTTGACGGGAGCGACAACACTGGCACGGTACAGCACCATAAGTCATCAGCTCTCTCCCCCGACCAGACACACCCCCCTTCCTTCCTGCTCTTTTCCCCTCCACCCACCTGTGCCTTACGCAGCCCTGCCTTGACAGGAGCAACAACACTGGCACGGTAGAGAGCCATGACGCGGCCCTCTGCTGCAAACGACGCCACTGTGCGCATGGCGCCCACTGCATCCGACGCTATGCGCGTCGCTGTCTCGTACGCTTGCTGCCAGAGCACAGAGAGAGAGGAGGGGGGGTGCCGTGGGGAATGTCGGGGTGGGTGGGGTTTGAGAATGTGTGTAGGCCTTGAGGTTTCGCGTGCCACTGCGCGCATGGCGCCTACTGCATCCGATGCTATGCGCGTCGCTGTCTCGTACGCTTGCTGCCAGGGGGGCACAGCACAGGGAGGGGTGCAAGGAAAGGTATGTGGGGGTGGGTGGGGGTTGAGAAGGTGTGCTGGCTTTGAGGTTTCTCGTGCATGTGGAAGATTGGGCCAGCAACTTCTGAGACGAGACATCTCAAAGCCCTGGAGGCTCCTCAATTGGAACATGGGTCGGGAGCAATGAGGGGCAGCGGCTCTACCCTCTGAAAAGACCCCTCTCCCCCCCAGCTCCCCCCCACGCAACCCGCCTCCTCCCCCTGCCCACCCCCCCACCCCCCTGCCAACCCCCCTGCCCACCCCCCTGCCCGCCTCCCTCTCCCCTCATCCCCCCCCAGCCCACCTTGGCATCGTCAGCAAAGCCCTGCAGGCTGCGCATCTGGAAGATGGAGCCGGCAGCGATGAGCGGCAGCTGGGCGAGCACGATGAAGGAGAGGATCCACGACGACGAGAACGCCAGGATGAGACCAGCTACGAGTGTTGCTGCGTTCTGCACGGCGAGGGACAGGCGGTCGCCCACTATGGAGTGCACGTGGGTGGCGTCTGAGGAGAGGCGCGAGCCGATGGCGCCACTGCGAGTGGAGGGAAAGGGAAGAGGAGGGGGTGGTATATAATTGGGGTGAAAAGGGTAATCAGGGACAGGCGGTCGCCCACTATGGAGTGCACGTGAGTGGCGTCGGATGAGAGTCGCGAGCCGATGGCGCCACTGCGGTTGGCAGGGGAAACGGGCCGGTGGGGCATGGGGGGAAGGAGAGGGTTTACAGAGGAACACGAATGGTGAGCGGGAACGAGGTGCGAGGAGAGACGGGGAGGGAAGAGAGCGAAGGACGAATGGACGAATTCACGGCTGGAAGGTTGAGCATTGAAGTTGAATGTCAGGGTGGGCGTGCGTGAGACTCACCTGGAGTTGTCCTCGCGGTCGAACCAGGCCATCTCCTGGCGCAGCACGGAGTGGAAGCACATGCGGCGGATGCGCCAGATGAGGCGCTGCCCCGCCACGCTGAAGAGGAAGGTCTGCAGCGTGCGGGAGACCCACGCGACCACGGCGAGGATGACAAACATGAGCGACCAGAAATCCGCGTCGCTGCGCATCTTGGCCTTGTCTGGAAAAGGGGGTGTGGCAGGGGGGGGATGAAGGAGGAGGGAGGGAGGGAGGGGAGGAGGGAGGGAGGAGGAGAGGGGGGGAGGGAGGGAGGGGGGGAGGGAGGGAGGTAGCGAGGGAATGAGTGGAAGCTAGAGGGGCAGGGAAGTGAGGAAGCATGTTTCAAATGCATACAACAGACGCACAGCTGGGTTGTAGCACAGCCCACCTGGGTTATAGAAGACGGTGATGATGCGGGAGAGGATGAGGGCGAAGAAGGGCAGGATGACGCCCTGCACGGCTGCTGCCACCGTGCCTGACAGCGCATACGGCCACTCGGGCTTGTTCAGCATCGCCAGCCGCAGGAACGGAGACCGTTTCTTCTTCTTCTTATCCTTCCTCTCCTTCTCCTTCTTTTTCTTCTCCTTCTTCTCCTTTTTCTCCTTTGCCTTCTCTCCTGTGCCCTCCGTCTCGCCCTGCTCTGGGTCTGTCCCTGTGCTGTCCCCCTTCCCAGCCTTCTCTGCCTCCTCTCGCTTTTCCCCCTCTCCCTCTCCCTCTGTCTCCTCCTCCTCCTCATCGTCATCATCCTCATCACCATCAGCACTGCTCCTGCAACTGGTCTCCTCCGAACTCCCTTCCTTCCCCGCCTTCCCCTCTTCCTCATCACTCACCTTCCCACCCTCCCCTTCACCCCCACCCTCCCCCCCTTCCTCCCTCCCACTCGCAGCCATCTCCTGCAGCTTCACCAGCTGCAGATACGCCCCGCCCTCCCTCATCAGCTCCTCATGCTTGCCCTCCTGCACCACCTTTCCTCTACTCAGCACCGCAATCCGGTCCGCGCCGCGTACGGTGGAGAGGCGGTGGGCGACGACAACGGTGGTGCGGCCGACCATGACGCGCTCCAAAGCCGCCTGCACCACCTTCTCGCTCTCCGCGTCCAAAGCCGACGTCGCCTCGTCCAGCAGCAACACCCGCGGGTCCTTGAGGATCGCCCGCGCGATCGCCACCCGCTGCTTCTGCCCGCCTGAGAGTTGGGTGCCGCGCTCCCCAACCAGCGTGTTGTAGCCCTGGGGTTATAGGGGGAGCATGGGGGAAAGGGGAAGGGAAGGGGAGACAAGAGGGGTCCTTGAGGATCGCCCGCGCGATCGCCACCCGCTGCTTCTGCCCTCCGGAGAGTTGGGTGCCGCGCTCGCCCACTAGAGTGTTGTAGCCCTGGGGGTAGGGGCAGGGGGGCACGGGGGGAAGGGAAAGGGGAAAGGGAAAGGGAAGGGGAAAGGGAAAGGGAAGGGGAAACGGAAAGGGAAGGGGAAAGGGAAAGGGAAGGGGAAAGGGAAAGGGAAGGGAAAGGGAAAGGGAAGGGGAAAGGGAAAGGGAAGGGGAAAGGGAAAGGGAAAGGGAAAGGGAGAAGAGAGGGGTTCTTGAGAACTGCCCGCGCGATCGCCACCTGCTGCTTCTGCCTGCCTGCCTGAGAGCACGCCCCCACGAGTGTGTGAAACAAGGAAAGAGAGAGGAGGGGAGACCGAACCAAACCAGCATATACATCCATTCACTGCATCTATACGCATCTAATCAATCACTCACTTCTGGCAGCGATTCAATGAACTCGTGAATATTCGCCGCCCGCGCAGCCGCCTTAACCTCCTCATCACTCACCCCCTTCTCCTCTCCCCCTCCCCCTCCCCACGCGTCCCCTCCGCCCTTCCCATACGCGATATTCTCCCTTATCGACACATTAAAGAGCGCGGGTTCCTGGCTGACGAGGCCCATGTGTTGGCGCAGCCAGCGCAGGTTGAGAGCGGCGATGCTGCGGCCGTCCAGCAGCACGGCTCCGCTCTGCGGGTCGTAGAATCGCTCCACCAGTGCCACCACCGTCGACTTGCCGCTGCCACTCTCCCCCACCAGCGCCACCGTCTCTCCCGCGCGGATCTTCAGCGAAAACCCGTTGAATATCGTCACGTCGGGCCGGGACGGGTAGGCGAAGACGATGTTTTGAAGCTCGAGCTCGCCTTTTACTTCGGAGTCCGGGGGGGTTTCGCCAGCGGGGCTGGAGCTGTCTATAGGGGGGATGCGCTGAATGACTTGGAAGATCTTGAAGGCCGCTGCTCGGCCCGAGGCGAATGCGGCAAAGGAGGGGGAGGCCTGACCGAGGGACCTGCACGGGGGAGATGAGGGGGGAGATGGGAGGGGAGAGAAAGAAGGGTAGACACAAGACAGGGGAGAGGGGAAGGGTTAACCACAAGATGGCACGGCACGTCACGACACAACCCCACGTCATGATGAGACGGGGTTTGATGACTTGGAAGACCTTGAAGGCGGCTGCTCGGCCCGAGGCGAACGCAGCGAAGGAGGGGGAGGCCTGGCCCAGGGACCTGCACGGGGGAGATGAGGGGGGAGAGAGAAGGGTCAACACGTCACGGCATGACATGGAGTGACATGGCACGACAAGACACCACATCACACCATCCGTCACAACACACTACCTGACACTAACGCACCCTTTCTCAGCACTCACATGCCGCCAATGATCACGCCGAAGAGCACGGAGAAGACCTTGCCGCCCGTGTAGCTGCTGTCGTTGACTCGAGTTACAGTCTCCTTGACATAACATTCCCCCCGCCATCCCCCCTTCCACTCCCTCCCTTGGGACTCACATGCCACCGATGATGACTCCAAAGAGCACGGAGAACACTTTGCCGCCCGTGTAGCTGCTGTCATTGACTCGACTACAGCCTCCCTGGCACAACACCCCCGCCCCCACTCTTCTTTGCAAGACTCACATGCCACCGATGATAACGCCGAAGAGCACGGAGAACACTTTGCCGCCCGTGTAGCTGCTGTCGGCGATGAGCTTTGACCCGTACCACAGCGCCAGCAGTTACCACAGCACAACACACCGCACCCTGGCATGATCCACATTCCCTTCGAGAAACTCACATGCCGCCGATGATCACGCCGAAGAGCACGGAGAAGACCTTGCCGCCCGTGTAGCTGCTGTCGGCGATGAGCTTCGACCCGTACCACAGCGCCAGCGCGTACGAGCAGAACATGACAAAGATGGTGAGCCCGTAGCCGAACCCTGCTGCCAGGCCCTGCTTCACGCCCTCCCGGAAGGCCGCGTGCAGGTGGGCGGCGTACGCTTGGACTGACTTGCGCTCCGCTGTGAAGGCCGCCACCTGTGCGGGATGAGGGGGCAGGTGGACGGGCAGGTGGACGGGCAGGTGGACGGGCAGGTGGACGGGCAGGTGGGGAAGAGGCAGATGAGTGAGTACCAATCAGGCGCACATGATGGCAACAGAATCAACAGCATTACACGGTGCCACGGTGGAGCACCGCAGTACGGTGCAGTACAGTGCCCTACGGTGCAGTACAGAGCAGTACTCACAGTGCGGTACGGTGCGGTACAGTGCAGTACTCACAGTGCGGATGGCCCCCACGCACTCCTCGACGATGGTGCCAGCAGCGGTGTACGCCTGCTGCCCCTTGCTGGTGGACTGCTGTACCACCACCGTGATCACCCCCCCCGCCACCGCCAGCAGCGGCAGCGTGGCCAGCATGACCAATGCTAGCTGCCAGCCCGATATGAACGCCACCACGAAGCCACCCAAGAACTGCGCCAGAAACTGCATGCACGTGGCCACCTGGTTAGGGGGAAAGGGGAGGAGGAGGAGGGGAGGTTGAGAAAGGTTGAGAGGATTTTACAGGGATCGGAGGTCAGATAGGAGTGAAACTGCGGCAGCAGCGGCAGCGTGGCGAGCATGACGAGCGCTAGCTGCCAGCCCGATATGAACGCCACCACGAAGCCACCCAAGAACTGCGCCACGAACTGCATGCATTGATCCACCTGGTAAGGGGAGAAAGGGGGAAGCAAGAGGGGGGTGGAGGGGTTCAGAAAGTAGATTCTTGGGTTGAGAGGGGTTGAGAGGATTTCACAGGGATAGGAGGAAAGATAGGACTAAAAAAGTGCCAGCTGCCAGCCCGATATGAACGCCACCACGACGCCACCCGAGAATTGCGCCAGGAACTGCACGCACGTGGCCACCTGGTGGAGGGAAGGAAGGGAGGTGGGGAGATTTGAAGATACTGTAGATATGGATGAGATCCCATGACCTCCTGTGTAAGCATGATGAGACAAGTGCCCCACCACCCACCACCCTAGGTCATACCCCCCCATTCCCCATGCTCCCCCTCGCTACCTGCCCTACCCATTACCCCGCCTTCCCCTCCCCCCTCCGCCTTTCCCCCCCTCCCCTCCCTCCTTCCCCATTTCCCCTCAATAGCAACCCTACCCCCATCCTCCATATTCTCCCATGATACCCTACACTACTTCCTCCCCCCGCGCACCTTCTCCCCCATGGCCTCCTGCACGAGCACGATATCCCCCGACATGTGCCCCACCACCTCGCCCGTGGACAGGCTCGTGTCGAAGAATCCCACGTCCTGCCGCAGCACCGATGCCAGGTACAGTGTTCGCAGCCGTGAGGCTTGGCGCTCGCCCGTGCTCATCCAACACGCCGTCTCTGATGAGGGGGACGGGGAGGAATGGAGGGGGACGGGGAGGGGGGAGGGGGAGGGGGAAGGGAAAGGGAAGGGGAAGGGGAAGGAGAAAAAGGGGGAGAGGGGGGAAAGGGGGGAAGGGGAAGGGAGGAGGGGGAGATGGAAGGTGGATGGGTGAACAAAGGGAACGGGGAATGGGAAGTGGAAGGGAAAGGGGAGGGAAAGAGGAGGGAGAAGCGGAAGGACACAAGGGCACGGGAAGACGAGGTGCGCACAAGAGAAACAACGACAGGGTGAGGAGGGACAGAACAGAGAACAGGGTGATGATGACACATTGACACCCATGAGTCAACCCCAAACTCGCCCACACTTCCCCATGCTTTCACATCCCCGCACACATGCATCGAAAACATATCTGAACTCGCACCACCCCCAGCGAGTGCTCACGTATATACGCCGTGACGCCAGCCGCTATCGCCAGGTAGATAAAGTTCAGTGATGCCTGCGGGAGGGGGAGGGGGGAAGGGGTGGAGGGAAGGGTGGGAGACAAAAAAATTCTCAAGCGCATTATATATTAAACAGGAAATAGTAAACGAAACGAAACAGTAGAGGCACCTCAGAAACACAGGAGACAAAAAAAAAAAAAAAAAAAAAAAAAAAAAAAAAGACAAGCAAGCAGAGCAACGGACGGAGCCCACCTTGGCGACCTGGTCGAGCATGGCGTCCATGGTGGTGGTGTTGGCGCCGAGCGCATGTCGCCCAGCAGCAAGTAATGAGGCGCAAACATATAGTATGAGTATACATGTGTATAAAAAAGTGAAACCCACCTTGGCGACCTGGTCGAGCATGGCGTCCATGGTGGTGTTGGCGCCGAACGCGTTCATCATGTCGCCGAACAGCAACTATTGCCACGCCTAAAACACACACACACACACAAAGTCGCGCCCACCTTGGCGACTTGGTCGAGCATGGCGTCCATGGTGGTGTTGGCGCCGAACGCGTTCATCATGTCGCCGAACAGCAACTATTGCCACGCCTAAAACACACACACACACACAAAGTCGCGCCCACCTTGGCGACTTGGTCGAGCATGGCGTCCATGGTGGTGTTGGCGCCGAACGCGTTCATCATGTCGCCGAACAGCAGCGCCATCATGGGCAGCGCGATGCCCTGCGCGATGGCGCCCGCCGATCCCACCACCATCAGCGCCACGTCCCACTTGTCCGCGTATCGGAACAGCTGCCAGTACGGCACGCTCCCCGCCTCCTCCGCGCCCTCCTTCGAATCCCCCTTCTCCCCCTTCTCCCCCTTCTCCTTCTCCGCTTTCTCCGATTTCTCCGCTTTCGCCGAGTCGGCCTCCTCCGCCGCCGTTGCCGCCGTCGCATTCTCCCCGCTTTCCTCCCCCGTGGTTACCGCCACTAGGTTCGCCTCCTCGCCTTCGCCCTTTCCCGCCAACCCTCCCTCCCCCTGCTCCTGCGCTCCCCCTTTCAAGAGCGGAGAGCTTTCGTCTGCCGCTGGCGCGTTTCCCGCCGCATCCTGCTCCGCCGGGAGTGCCGCAGACGCCGCGGACGCGCTCTCCGCCGGGGGAGGGGAAGGCGCGGGGACCGGCGGCGGCCCGCGCTCAGGATCGGGATCCACGCCCATGGGGAACTGCGGCGCCGTGCGGGGGCAGACGAGGGAGTATGGGAAAAAACAGGGAGGAACGGAAAGATGGAGCGGGAAGGGAGGGAAGGAGTGAGGGAGAGAGGCGGGGTGGGGGGAAGAGAGGGAGGAAAGGAGGAATGGCGGAAAGAGAGGAAAGTGAGCTGAATGAAGCATGATCGAAATTGCTAATGCGGTTCGACAGCCATGCCACACTAGCAAGGCAGGTAGAATGACGCCACGGAACAGCTAAAGTAGAATGCCTTTCGCACAAGCAGGACACGACGAAATTGAGGAAACGAAAACCGCCGAGCTGCAAGTGTAACGAAAGTAAACGAACGACAACACTAGCGTGGGTTCCGCCGCGCAGAAAATACGACGTACAGATTTGACTAGCTAGATTGCAGAGAACGTTCGAAGCGTAGAGAGCAGCGTTAACTCCATCATTACAATCCTATGGTTAAATAGCGACCCGTGGTATGCACAGTAGCACTCACCCAGAGCGAGGCCTTGTCCGAATGTACGAAGCGACGGAGAAGTACAGCTAAGTTCACCAGTGCGCCTCGACTTAACTTGGGCTTGTGAGTGTTTAGCACGGGAATGCGAAAGCGACTCCGTGGGAGAAGCTTGGGACAGGCTAAACAGCTAAGTTTCCCTGGTGTAGTGTCAGCTTTCTGACAATCTATGCTCGTTGAAATCTCCCTTCTAGCGGGTGGAAAATGGTTGCAATTGATTTGAGAATTGCACGCTCTGGTGGCTCTTCAAATAGATCGAGCAAGACGAGGGGAGGAAGAAGTGGGTGCGCGCAAAGAGGGAAGCCGTGGCAGCTTCGGGGTTTGGCTTGGAAGGGCCCCGAACCGGGATTTGCTATGGTCTGACCTGTTCCACGCCAAGCCACACCGTAGGTGTGTGCCATCATTTGAGAGTTTTGGGTTTAATACCAGGAGGACGTATCCAACAGCTTTGAAACCACAAAGGCGTGAACACACGAGTCTTGAGCGCGGTCCCGAAACAGAAGTGACAATACGGTATTACCTCTTCATAACTTACCGACGCGGTACACCAACCCGATCCGACCCTTGTTTCGACCATGGAGTTCCGGGGCTTCGTTTCACTACGGAAAATCAGCGAGTCAGATACAATAAACCCAGAAACCCGATATGTTTCTTGTGTGGCAAGTCAAGGAAAATGAGTATGTCGCGATCCGGCACTTTGCGTTGTGTACCAGCGCTGTTTTGGCACGCGCGAAACATGTCGGAGAACAGAAATTCTAGCGCCTATAGATCTGCCAAACCAGGCACGTACGGCGCTACCGAGCTGACGTGCCAAAGCCAGCTCACCATGTTCGTCACGGATCTTCGGAAATATCGAGCTTCCATGCCAGATACACAGGTTCGGCACTCGAGAATGGAGGCACAAAGCGCATGTTTTCGTGACCACCGCACCACTATTCAAGGTCCGTGCTTAGCCCTGTCAATAGGTCTGGAAAACGGTATGTTTCACTGGCCAGGCCCACAGGTCGTTCTTGCTGTCGGGCTTCGGGGACTTGATGTGAAATTACGTGGAAACGGCGACATCGTCAGCAATGAAAAAGGGCGGGGTGCAGTATGCTGAATTGACAGGATCACTTCTGACCGGGTTGCAGCCACATCGACCCTTTGGCTGCGTTCTGGTGGCACACAAGCCATTTGCGAGTGCCGCACAAGTACTGCAGGCTTTCTTTTCCCCAAAGTGAGGCGGATACATTCCGGGCTCTGGTCAAACCTCTGGTTATCCGTGCTTGCGATTCTAAATTGTACATACTTCTTAGCAATTGTGCCAGTTGCAAGGTTGGCTACAGTGTTGACTAGAGGTCCTGACCAAAGCCCGGAATGTACCCTGCGAAAGGGGCTGCAACCTTGTCGAAGAATCTTGATGTGCCCGCGTTTGGCCTCCCGCATGCTCGGAGCCTTCCAATCGTCCCGAGCCGATGCAATAAACCGGTGTTACAATCTGAAGTGTGACTTAGCGAAGAGGATCGTTCAGGGTTGATCGCAGGTAGTGTCGCAGCGGAAGTAGTGAACTCAGGTCAGAGTGAATGTAAATGACTGAGATGATAATAGCATGCATACATTGGGTTTATATAGAAATACAAAGGAATGCGAAACGACCTAGACTAGCCATGTACTCTAAGGGGTACATTCCCTTATTGCAGCGAAATTCAAACCGTGCGGCGCGGGAATCAGTTTCAAACCTGTTCCCGCTCTTTTCACTTCAAATGCTTCTGCCTGCATCGGTCTTGGTCAGACGGTTGCTGTGTCGCTTCGACTCTTCTGACTCCTCGACTTCGTACTCGGTAGAGTCGGCTCCTGCAGCATACAGGAATGCCTTCTCATAAAACTTCATATCGTAACACTCCCCTTCATTCCTGGACGCGAAGGGTGCTGACTCGCTTGACCACTCCGGTGAGGTCGGAGCAGTGCTTGAACTGCTGACGTGGCAGACGCTTGGTGAGGAAGTCGGCTGCCATCTCAGTGGTCGGGCAGTAAGCGAGGTCAACTTTACCCTTATCGATTTCGTCCTTGACGAAGAAGTACCGCAGTGCGATGTGCTTCGTGCGGTTCACGAACCCGGGCTTGTTCGCGATCTTGATCGCGCTCTGGTTGTCGCAGTGCAGGCGAAAGGTAGGCGAGGTTGGAATTTTTGCCTCCTGTAACAGCTCCTGCAGGTACAGACCTTCGCGAACTGCTGCTGTCGCGGCGATGTATTCAGCTTCGGCCGATGACAGGGCAACCAGTTCCTGCTTCTGCGAGTTCCAGGAGATGGGGCCAGTTGGCTCCAGGCGAAAAACGAAGCCGGTTCGGGACCGTCGATTTGCTGGGTCAGCGGCATGGTCAGCGTCCACGTAGCCGTTGAGGTTGAAGGATGTTGTTGGCTGCGTGGAGTAGGAGAGTCCAATGTCAGGCGTGGAGATGAAGTACTGCAGGGCGCGCTCCAGGTCCAGCTGGTTCTCGGCTACTGGTTTGCGGGAGTACTGTGCCAGTTGGCTGGCGATGTACGAAAGGTCGGGTCGGCATGTGACAGATGCGAACAGCAGGCAGCCCAGCTGCTGCTGGTACAGTTGGAGCCCCGCGGGGGACAAAGGTTTGTTGTCTGGTTTGTAGTTGGTGCTGGGGCTGCGGTAGGGAGTTGAGAGTGGTGCGCGTGAGATGTTGAACCGTTCTCCCAGCTGCTCTGCGTATTTTGAAGCTGACAGATGAATTGCTTCTGGCGCGTAGGTGATGTTCAGGCCCAGAAACTGGGTGACGTTGTGGTTGGTGGTAATGTCCACGCGCTTCGCCAAGTTTTCTTCGAACTGGGTAAGAAGCGTGTTGCAGGTGCCAGTGTAGAGCAGGTCGTCGACGTAGACGGTGAGGAGGATGTAGTCGCCGTTGAAGTGGAGGCGGTACATTCCCGGGTCGTGCGGCAGCTGCCTGAAGCCGATTTCCAGTAGAATTTTGTGCAGGTGCTGCTGCCAGAGACGAGGCGCCTGCTTAATCCCATAGAGGGATTTCTTCAACTGGCAGACCCTGGGATCTCCTTCTCCGTAGGTGTGTGGCTGCTCCACGAAAATGGTTGCGTCCACCAACGCATATAGGAATGCGTTCTTCACGTCGATCTGTCGCAGTGGCAGATGCTTAGCGGCCGCTATGGCGAGTAGGATCCTGACGGAGGTGTGACGGCTGACAGGAGCGAAAGTTTGGTCGAAGTCGATGCCGTGGCGTTGGTCGTAGCCTCGGACCACCCATCGTGCCTTGAAGCGCTCGATGGTTCCGTCAGCGTTAGTCTTGAGCCGAAAAACCCACTTCCCGCTGAGCACCCTCCTCCCCTTCACTGCTGCACGATCGACGAGAACCCAGGTGTCACGGGACTCCAGCGCTTTCAGTTCGGCGTCCATAGCTGCACGCCACTCTTTGGCGTGCGGGCCGGTGAGGGCTTGGCGCGGGTTCTTTGGTTCAACAGCGCGAGCCATGGCGGAGACGGAGGTGTGGAGCCCGAGAAGCTGCAGGCCGGAGACGTTCGCGGTTTCCGCAGTGTCAGTGATGGGGACCTCCACCACGTCATCATCGTCGCTGTCGTGTCCAGGTGAGGAAGTGCTGGGGGCGGTTTCGCGGCGGGATGGTCCAGGGGTAGGTGCGTCGTCGTCATCGTCCGAGCGAGGGCGAGGCGGAATGCCAGGATGATCGTCGGTGTCGTCGCGATCGAAGGCTGCTGCTGCTGCTTCATCCTCGGGAGATGCAAAGCTGCGGCCGCTGTTGACATAGCCGCGAGCTTGGTTGCGTTGCTCGTCCTCGATCCACTGCTTCAAGGTGAGTCTTTCGTAGAAGAGGATGTCACGCGCGGGAACAATCTCCTTGCTGTCGACGTCGAGAATGAGCCACCCCTTGTGCTCGTTGCTGAGCCCCAGATGAACTCCCCAGCGTGCGCGCTGAGCAAACTTGCCGATGTTTGCTGAAGTTGGCCGATACTGCACCATGCACCCCCAAACCCTCAACATGGAGGGATCTCCCCTTGAGCCGGTCCACTTCATGTGCGGGGAAAGGTTGTCCCTGTTGGCCGTGGTGGAGAGGAGGTTGTAAAGGCGCACCGCGTGGTTCATGGCGTAAGGCCAAAACTTCTTGGGGAGGCCGGACTGATTCATGAGGGCGCGCACTTTCGTCATGAGGGTGCGATTAACCCTCTCGGCGACTCCTTGCTGCTGATGAGCGTAGGGGAGAGAAATCTCGTGCTTGATCCCCTTCTCGGTGAGAATGCTCTCCAGCTCGTAACTGCGAAATTCTTTAGCACCATCACTCTGCCAAATTTTCAGCTTCCTCCCTGACTGTCGCTGTGCGTGTGCGAGCCAGATCCGGAAGACTTCTGGAGCCTTGGACCGTGCGTCGACGTTGGCAATCCAGACGTAGCGTGAGTAGGCGTCGATGAAGGTCAGCGTGTATTTTTCGCCGTTGAGTCCGTCGCAGGTGAGTACAATGAAGTCGCTGTACACCTTCTGTAATTTCTTGTAGCGGTTGGTGCTTGGCTCCAGTGAAGGATATGCGCAATGAGTGAGGGCTGCAGTGGGGCAGACGGTGCAGGTGAGTGGGTGTGGGGTGTTGTGGGGTTCGGTGCCGTCGGGGCGCAGAAGTGCTCCTGGGGGGAAGACCTTCGCGCGGAGGCAGTTGGCGAGAGTCTGGCGCGAGGGATGCCCGAGTCGCTGGTGCCAGAGGTCGTCTTCGGCGCGAATGCCGCTGCTGCGCATGTAGCGTGCGCGATGCTCTGCTGCTTCCTCCTCTGTTTCTTGTGGGATCTGGAGCGGTGGTTCCTCCTCTTCTCCTGGTTCTGTTTCGTCTTCCGCTCCTTCTGCTTCTTCTGTGGTTGTCTCCCCTTCTGCAGGTGCGGTCGAAAGATAGAGGGCGAGAAATTCGCGGTCGGGGATGACGGTGAGCGGAGTTGTTGTTCCTTCGATGAAGCGGGCGAATGGATCTGGACGGGAGATTGGACCAAGGGAGTCTCGGGCAGGTGTTGGAGGTACGTTCCCCTCCTCAAGCTCCGTCCAGGTACTGTCCCAGCGCCATGGTGACCGGGGGGGTGAGCGTGCTGGTGGTGGTCTTCCGAGGGGTATGGTGACGCGGGGTGGTTCCTCTCCGCGTTCGGTGCGCATCTCTTGTTCTGCTTCCTCCAGTTCTTCTTGGGTGAGATCTGCTTCGGCTGTTTCTTCCGTACCCCAGCCTCCTGTGGTAGCCATGCTGCTGCCGCTGGATCCCCATGCTCCGGTGGCTGATGCCCATGTGGCGCCTTCCCCGGGTTGATAGTCATCGTCTCCCCATCCACCTCGTCGTGCAGACTCCTCGCTCCAGCCTGCTGCGATGCGCTCTTCGTACAGTTTTTGTTTCTTCTCTGCCTTCACCTTATCTTGTT